ACCCAAAGGCCATGTCTCTCCTGCAGTTTGAATCTTTTAGCAGCTCTGCTGGAGAAAGATGTGATTTACGGCCTTGGAAATCCACTGGAGGGTCAGCTGTAAGTCTCTTCCAACTTTATGACACTGAGTGTGTGCCTGTCTTCAATAGAATATGAAAATTTCTCTGTTTCTATGGAGCTCTGTCTCTCCTTACATCATCACAGATCACCTTTTTATATATTGTGTGTCCTTAAACATTGACTTATAGTCATGATTTTATACACTTATCTATCTTTTTTCCCATTCCCAAGAAAGATGATCCAACAGAAGATGGAAATTAACTAATAACATCATTAAGATCACATGCAAACAAAATATTGCTGAAGATCATCCAAAAAACAGCTTGTACAGTATATTGACAGAGGACTGCCAGAAGTTTATGCTGGATTTAGAAGAAGCCATGGCACCAGGGATATCATTGCTGATGTCAGATGGATCCTGACTGAAAGCAGAGAATACGAGAAGAATATCTGTTTGTGTTTTATTGACTATGTAAAGTAATTTGACTGTCTTGATTCTAATAAGTTGTGGCTAACACTGAGAATAGTGGAAATCTCAGAACACTTAATTGTGCTCATGTAAAACCTATACCTAAACCAAAACGCTGTTGTGCAAACAGAGCAAGGGAACACGGCATGGTTTAAAATTAAGAAAAGTGTGCATTAGAATTGTATCCATTCTCTACACCTGTTCAGTTGTATGTTGAGCAAATCATGCAAAAGACTGGACTCTGATGAAGAACGTGGTATCAGTCTAAGAGAACTGACTGAGTTAGGCAGATGACACAGCTTTGCTTACTGAAAGTGAAGAAGACTTGAAGTGCTTGCTGCAGAAGATCAAGAACTACAGCCTTCAGTATAGTTTACCTCTCAATATTAAGAAAACAAAAGTTCTAACCATGCAATTGACAGACAGCATGATAGAGAAAAGATTGAAACCATCAACTACATCATCTCACTTGGTTCCGCGGTCAAGTACACATTTGGTACCAGCAGCCAAGAAATCAAAAAAAGTGTTTTGCATTGGGTAATTATTCAGTTAGAGATTTATCCACATTACTGAGGAGCAATGATGTCAGTTTGAAGACTAAAGTGCACTTTATTTACTTAGGCCATAGTCTTTTCAGTCATTTGCTATGCATTGAGAATTGATGCTTTTGAGTTGTGTTGTTGGAGAAGAGTACTGAATATCTCATGGAACAAACAAAAATGTCTTGGAAAAAGTATAGCCAGAATGATCTTTGGAGACTAAAATGACAAAACTTCATCTCACATACTTGAGTGTATTGTTAGGAGAGGCTTTTCCTTGGAAGGGGACATTATGCTTGGAAAGATGAAGAGTTTGAGAAAGAAATAGATTGGCACAGTGACTGCAGCAGTTGGCTCAAGAATGTTAGAAATGATGAGGATGGCAGAGGATAGGACAGAATTCAGATCTGTTGTTCAGAGGGTCACTAAGAGTCATACTCAGTGGCACCCAACAATAATAACAATACCTCCACTTATCTTGTAATTTATATAGGAAAAAAGAAAATTTACAAGTAAAAAATGTACAGGTTTAGTGTTTACCTATGAAGTTGCTTTTACAGGTTTTTTTTACATTTCTTTGAGTCTTTATGACTTTTAATTACTCTTTAGTAGCCATCCATTTGATTTATAAAGGTTTAGCATTTCAAAATTCACTAGTGAATGACTCATCTTTAGTTTTTCTGTTAATATCTTAATTTCTTGTTCACTTTCAAAGGCTAGTTTGGCATATACAGAATTATTGATGGAGAAACTTTGGGATTTTTTTCCCCTTTTCTTTCAGTATAGACATGTATGACATCTCACTGCCTTGGCTTCCATAGTTTCTGATCAGACAGCCATGGTTAATGTTATTGAAGGTTTCTTGTACTTAATGAGTCGCTTCTTGTTGTTGCTTTCTAGATTTTCTTTGTTTTTGACAACTTGATAATAACAAAGATGCATGTAGATCCTGTGAGTTTGATGAGTTTCTTGGATATGTAGACTCCTTTTCTTTCCATCAGATTTGGAAAGATTTAGCCTTACTTGTTTAAATATTCTTCTTTTCTCTTTATTTATGCCCACTTCTTTGGCACTCCCATTGTGTGTGTAGGGTATACTTGATGATGTCCCATGGATCTCTTGGCTCTATTCCTTTTTCTCCACTGTTTTTTGTTTGTTTTGTACTCCTCATACTGCATCTTTTCAGTTGACTTTGCTTCATGTTTAGTCATTGTTCCTTTTACCTCCTCACATTTGGCTCATTCCAAGGAATTTCCCATCTAAGCTACAGAATTTACATTTGCTTCCTTATTAGACCAACTTCTGTTGTGTCCTAACCACCTTTTTTGTGTTAGGTGTTTGCTAGAGTGCTGTAGAGGTTTGACTATTTTTCTGGAGTTCCAACAAAATTGATTCTGACAGTTTTTCTAGTTGTTCTATCCCTTCCCCCCCCCCCCCAATTAAGGGAGTTTCTGTGCCAGAACTTCAGAGTTCCCTACTCCAAATTTTACAACTCTTATGCAAATGTTTTTAAGAAAACTATTTCACATACTTTTAAGACTTGTATTTTATGCTTGGCCCTGGGTAGCTAGCACCATAGTTAAAAGGTAATTTAAAAATACGGATTTGTAGAGGTCTTGCTGTATCATATGACTTATTTAGTGACTAGTAACAATTTTTGATTTTACTGTGAGGATTCATAGTGACTTCTGAAGCTTAGGCATTGTTTTAGGCATTGTTTCTGTGAGAATAGATTTGGTGGCTCTGTGTGTGTGTGTGTGTGTGTGTGCGCGCGCGCGCGCTCATGCACCTACACATGAACTTATCCACACATGAATTCTTTAAATGATAAAGGTCAACTTTGTATCCTTGTGACGTTGATTTCAGACTGTGCCACATTATTCTTCTTTTGACTGAGAAAAAGCCCAGCTGCACCTTCTTTAAGGGTGTGTTTTTAAGTGTAAAGTCTTCAGAGTCCGAGTGTGTACATCAAAAAAATTTGAAATTTTTGTTCCTTTTCGTGTGGACAGGAAAGGGCTGTATCTTTTTTTTTCTTCTGTTTTTTCTTCCTCAATATTAAAAAAGAAAATTTTACCCAGCCCGTTTCTGATCACTGCCTTTTTCAAAACAGTTGATCTGAAACCATGCAGTCTCCCTGTGTGATGCGGAGCCAACAAGGAGTAGTTTATGAAACAGTCTCTTGCTTTCAGTTCTTCTTTATTAACCCTTTAAATACAGGAGAATTTTCCCTTCTAACAGTATTTGGGAAGCCCTCAAATGTTCTGAAATATTTTCAGTTCTAGCTTTATAATTTATTCTGTAGAGAGGCACTTGCCCCCATTTTCAAATAGTTGGGACTCTTTTTATGTTTCACTGTGTGAGATCAGAGTGGTGGAAAATCCCTACCAGCATTTATCTCCCTTCACCAGGGAGCCACATACCTAGAAATTACTAGAACTATTTTTAAAAAATACTTATTTTCTCGAGCCTTGACCCTCTGACTTCTGAGTCAACAGGTCTGCCTTAGGACAGAAAAATCTTCTAAAAGTTCCCTCAGTGATTCTTTGGATTCCCTAAATGTGCTGGGAGAATGGAGAATGTGCTTAAGTAAGTGAGGATGGTGTCATGTTACCTGAGATTTAGGCTCTTATAATCACTTCTGTTTAATTCTGTTCCTCAGTTTCTTTGGCTCTAAAATGGAAATAATAACATAGACCTTTTTTTGGGTTCCAATGCCCCCATGCCAATGTGCATAGTCAAATAAAAAGTGCTACAAGGACTAATTGCTGGTACTTTCACAGACCCTGGTTGAACCAGGTTTCACATAGGTAGTTTTATTATGAGTATAATACTGTTTTGAGAGCGTTAGTTTCTAGTCACACCAGCATCAGTTTAGGCAAGAGAGGATCTGATATAACAAAAACTGTGTTGAGGGATTTTTCTCCAGTAAGGGAGTGTCATCTCCACCTGAATCTACAAATCTTTCTTTCATGCAAGCTAGTACACATACAGGAGTTAGCACATTAGAAATAAGTTCTCTTGAGTACACCAAGCAGATTGTGATGTTTGGTCTCTGTGACCAGATTTCCCATTAGCAGTACACATTGGTGTTATTTTGGAAATTTGTGTGGAAAGTACTTTTTAATTTACCCGAGGCAGCTGTAATTTCTGTTGACTGAATGACAGGAATAAACTGTGAAAACAGGCATTAATAGTTTTGGGCAGTGGCCAGGTTGTGTGATCTTATGAAAGTGAAGAGATGCAGGGCACAGATCTTGCAATGAATATCCATCTTCTCTCTGAGGCTCCACAAGACTCTGAGTCTCACCAGAGAGAAATTGTCAAGATATGAGGGAGACTAGGTTTGATTTTACAGTAGATTTTATGTAGATGGTGAACAAGCACGAGAATGCTTGCTGGTATTGTTGTTAGGTGCCATCCATCAAGTGTGATTCGTAGTGACCTTATGAACAGCACATCTGAACCCCGTCCTGCCCTGTGCAATCCTCATACTTCCTGACACACCAGATCCCATTGGGGCAATTACTATGTCAGTCCACCTAGTTGAGGGTCTTCCTTTCCTTCACCAACCTTCTACCTTTTCAAGCATCATGCATGTCCTTCTCCAAGTAATAGCCTCTCCTAGCAACTTGCCTGAAGTATGTAAGGCAAAGCCCCATCATCCCTGCTTCCAAACAGTATTCTGGCTGCACCACCTCAAAGACATAATTATTTGTTCTCTTGGCCGTCCATGGGATGTTCAGTGCTCTTTTCCAACACCACAAATCAGAGGTATCAATTCTTCTTCTTCTGTCATCCCTATTCATTGTCCAGATCTCGGATGCATTGCAAGTGATGTAGGGGCTGTTTAGAGCCCAAGACCCCTTTTCAGTGATGGATTGAAAACTATGGCTGCAGTTCCTAATGGACCTTTTCTTTCTTTCTTTTCTCTAGGAAAAGAAGATTTTTCAAATCCCTTGGATGCATGCAGCTAGACATGGGTGGGATGTGGAAAAAGATGCTCCACTCTTTAGAAACTGGGCAATCCACACAGGTACCACAAGACCTTGCAAAAATGTTTCTAGACACAGATGTTGTCATCTTTCTTTCTTTAATAGAAGCTGTGAAATCTCCTGACTTATGGCTGAATGAAGATAACCCACTGCCACCTAGAGCTTCTCTATCAGACAGAGGAGAACTGCCCCATATGGTTCCCAAGGCCCTGATCTTTATAGAAACAGTCTGCCACATCTGTCTCGCACAATGGCTTGTAGATTCAAACCACTAACTTTTTTATTAACAGCACAGAGTTTCATCCACTGTGCCACTAGGGCTTCTCTGCAAGAAGATTGCTATGAAAAAAAAATTTGAAATTAATCCCCAGGCACAGGTAGGACACATGAGTATAGATGTCATTACTTAAAAGCCAACTCTACACATCCATGGATTTTTAGTCCTTTCTTGTAAAATAGGGTATTTTGATAAATTTCCCAGTCCATACCCGGGGAATATAGTCATTAGTTCTAGACGTATAAATGTGGATCAGATTTATCTTCTTAAAAAGAACACATTCATTCATTCAGTTATTTACTCACTCACTTACCTACTGCGTAGAGGGACTTCATACATGGGAGGGTGGAGGGACAGCGCAGGAGGGGAAAACCCTCTGTGAGGTGGATTGATTCAGTGACTGGGGTAATCGGGATGAGTGTATCGGAGACAGTGTGATTGGCACAGGACAGAGCAGAGTTTAGGGCTGTTGTACATAGGATCTCTATGAGTCGCAAGCGACTCGACGGCACATAACAACAACAACAACATCAAAAACAATTAAATACATAAAGTAGGGAGCTATTTGAAGGAATCAGCTTTTTATTTGATATGCAGAAATCAGAAGAAAAGCAAGAATACATGTTTCTTCTTTCCTTACCTCCTTCAATCCTCCTAGTTTTCTATACTGCTCATGTTAAATAGAAATTCTTCCACCTTGTAATTTTCTCTCAAGCTGAGTTATCTTCAGACTGGCCACATTGTTACTGTCTGAGTTTAAATCTAAAATCCTTCTATGTTGAAAATTCCCTTAGTTATAGGCCCTCTGGGAGGACTGTTTACTTTTAGGACAGCCTGGGATGAAGAGCTTTTCCAGAGGTGCTATCTGGTCAGCAGTGCTATTTCTCCAGAAAATTTTGTTCTGTATCTAATTTTCACCTCTTTTTCTTAACCTTTGACTGTTTTGTTAGGAAAGCATCAACCAGGTGTAGATAAACCTGACCCCAAAACATGGAAGGCAAATTTCCGATGTGCCATGAACTCCTTGCCTGATATTGAAGAAGTCAAGGACAAAAGCATAAAGAAGGGAAACAACGCCTTCAGAGTGTACCGGATGTTGCCCTTGTCTGAACGGCCTTCTAAGAAAGGTAGATAAAGATCTTTTAAAAAAACCTCAAAACTCATTGCTCTTGAGTCAGAACCAGCCCATAACTGACCCCACGGTGGATTTCTGAAACTATAACTTGCACAGGAGGAGATTGCCCATCTTTCTTTGATGTAGCAGCTGGTGGATTCAAATCACCAGAGAGAAGGGCAGCCTTTGGATTAGCAGTGCAGTGCCCTGTGGATGATGCCACCGAGTTCCCTAAAGATACAGATGGAAAATTGGAGACATAATGTGTCTTATAGCACCTCATTGGCAGTGTTTTCACACATTTGTATTCACTTTGAAGGTAGCACAGCTCTGTAGGTGATGATCCTTTCCCCACCTGACTGGGAACAATCACCTCAGGTCACCAGAGGCAAGCAAACATTTAGACTTTTTACCATGGGCAGATTAAAGCCACATGATTTTTAAGTAGTTTGACTCAGAAGAAATGTTGCCCTGTATATTCTTCATTAATTAATCCAAACCCCCATTTTGTGTTGCCACAGGAAAGAAACCAAAGACAGAAAAAGAAGACAGAGTAAAGCACATCAAGGTAATCTTGGGTGATTCAGACGGAAGGCTGAGGTTGTGACCATATTTGTGATTTATATTCCATTTCTTAGAAACAACTAATAGAATCTCAGTGAAATGTTTCATTTTTCTTATTTTGCTGTTGTGTTTTATGTTCATTATATGTCTTCTCTTTGGCTTGTAACCATTTGCACACAGAGACCCACATGTGCCTTGCTGAATTGGTTTCACTGAAATATTTGTGAATGAAGTCACAAATTCACACCAAGCTCAGCCGTCCAGGCTTCCATCTGGTCGCCACAGCTGTGGTCAGCTGGTCACTTAGTTACACCAGCCAGCTAGTAGATGATAATTCTCAATACATTTTCAGCCCATTTAATGTTTTTAAGTATATAAAATTTGTAATTATATTAAAATGTATTTTAAATGTATTGTTTTATATATTTGTATATAAATTTGTGAGTAGTTGTTATTGTTATGTGCTGTCGAGTTGTTTGCAGTTCATAGTGACCCTGTATACAACAGATCTGAAGCCTGCCCTATCCTGAAGCACTTTCACCGATTCTGACACCCTACCTCCATTATCCCATTTACTGCATCAATCCATCTCATCTGGGTCTTCCTCTCCTGTGCTGTTCCTCCACCCTTCCAAGAATGGTGTCCTTCTCCAAGGACATCTCCATGTCCCTCCTGTCCATGTCGCCAAAGTATGTGAGATAGAGCTTCAAAGTCCTAGCCTCCAAGGGGACACTTATTTTCACCCTCTCCAAAATAGTCCTGTTAGTTCTCTTGGCAGTCCAGGGTACGTTCAATACTTTTCTCCAGCATCACAACTCAAATATATCAATTCTTCTTCTGTCATCCTTAAGTCATTGTCCAGCTGTCTGATACATAGGAAGAAGAAGACCATGGCCTGGATCAGGCAGTAGATACAAAATATATTCGATATATGTTCAATGAAAGGCTTTTAGCTTGCAAGTACTTTCTCAATAGTGTTTTTCTGCTCCATTACAGATTTTCTTCTTGGGCATGTGAGAGAGAGAGGTAGAAGAGAGACATAGCAGTCTTTTCATAGTGTATTGTCTGAACTCACCTCTTCTGAATTGGGTTCTGCTCAGCCTCCCTGGTTTGATGGTGTTTGTGCTGTAAATTGGTTTTATTGTTCTGTGGTGTTTGAGTAGCCCTCGTGAGATGTGAGCAGGTAGCCAAGTGTCCTTTGTACTGTTGGGAATGAACTACAGTAGCCAAACAAAGAGCAGATGCTACAGTCACAGAGTCACAGAATCATCAGAGAGTGGATTCTCCAGTTCACTGGCCTAAGTTTAAGAAGGCCCAGGGTGTAATAGGTTCAGTGCTGGGCTTCTAACTGAAAGATTGGTACTTTGAACCCATCATTTACAGGTTTGGAAACCAGCAGGGTGAGGGTCGCCATAAATCCGAGACGACTAGGTGACATTGGACTTGGTTTTGGGTTTTGCAGAGAAAGAAATTGACTCCAGAGAGTTGAGTGACATGAGCCCAGCATTACACAGTTATTTTAGAGCAGAACTGAAGTAAGATGCCAAGTATTCTGATTTCTAATCTAGACTATCTATTGAAGAAAATCCCTTAAACTAGTTAGAAAGCTCAATGTTTAAAAATGGATGGTAAGTTGAAATAGTGAGGAAACAGCAAAATATTTTTACATAAGGTTTGATTTGTGAAAGCAGTTTTGATTTCAAGTGAAAAGTTAGATAAATTTGTGAAATATTCTAGATGCTTACCTGTGCATTGGAAAATAAATCGTTTAGGCAGAGTATATTTTAGTAGTGATAATTCCAGTTCTGCTTTTGAATTTTTTTTCAGTTGTAACTAATTTTTAAATAGAGCAGAAACCTAACTTTTTGTTTTATCTCTGGTGGAAAGTTTTATGTACATTAAAAGGATACAAAAGAGCATAATATAATTCATAATAGACGCTGTAACTCCTCACCCCGATTTCAACATTAGTCATCTCATGGCCCGTTTAGTTTCATTAGTACTAACCACTTCCCTATGTTGCCTACAGAATTGCTCTGTATCTGATTTTTTTTTTAATTTACAGGTGCATTTTGTTATGCTTCAGTCAGTATTTTGAAATAAATGGCATATATTGTATAATTATTTTTCTAGAAATATTTTATCATCTTTAAAAAGTTTGTATAGCACTGTGTCATTAATACACTTGAAAGAATGGACACAGATAATTCAGTATCATCAAATATGTAGTCATTGTTCAATTTCCAGTTGTCTCACAAGTGTTACAAACCATGTAGAGTTTGTTTATTTGAAACAAAATCCATATAATGTCCTGAGGCTGTGATTTTAGATGTGTCTTTTATGTTTTTTTCCTAACATGTAGATTTCTTCTATCGTTTACATTTTTCCCCCCTTGCAGTCTGCTCATTGAAAAACCTAGTTGGAATCCTATCATGATCCCCACAGTTTGGACTAAGGATTTTGGTTTTTGAGACTTACATTTTGATTAGTGTCATCTTGTCAGAAAATATAATTTCCCTTTCAAGGTATGAATTTGAAAAATTTGCTATAGTCCTCTCAGCATGACTGTATCATATTCACGATTATTTTCCCAACATGCAACTCAGTGCCTTACATAGAACAAGTAATATATTAACAGTCACTGAATAGATGCATAAGTACTTTTTTAATTAAATTTTATAAGTTTTAATGAACATTTACAGAGATTTTGGGTTTCCATTCATTCATTGTTGCACTCTTTTCTCTACCCTCCCCCCCAGTTTGTTCCTCTTCCCCCCCCAAAGTCGATTTTAATTGCCCCATTGCCACAGTGCTTGTCAAAGCCAATTCTGATTAATCTCTTTTGTCACTGTGTCCTTTGCCGTTCCCTATCACTCCTCCCTGAGAGAGATTTCACCCTGATTCATAAGGAAAAGGGGACAGCGTATTCTCTTAGCTACTTCCTCCTGAAAAGGGACGTTGTAGGTTTCAGGGT